GCGTCGCACAATAGTTTTCATAAGTGACAACACATTTATGATTCTAATTTCCACTAGGCACTATGATGGTATTGTAAACTGGTGTGTAGTACGTAACGTAAGAGTTATTTCTGTAACTGGGAAATGAATCATTATTGTAGACTTGGGTTTCGTGCATGCAATCCTGTCTGCAAAATTCAAAATGATGTCTATTTTGAAAATCATTCTAAAGAATATATTTATAGTTTTTCGAAATAGGATTAAAAATCGTTTGAACAAATTTTCTTCTATATGACGATTCGAAAATCAATTCGATGAAAAGAATGATCAAATTTTGTGTTGCGAGATTATCAAGAAGTTAAAAATAAGATTTACTTGTTCTAATCTACGTTATCTATTTATCTCGAGATAATTATATTAACTACTACGAATTATTGATTGTCGGTTATTCAAGATATCGCATCAACGGCAATAAAACAACAACAACGAATAAAATAAACGTTTTCAATCGTTTGCGGGGGGGATTTTTTTTGTTTATAAGTGATTGATAAAATCGAATTAGAAAAAGGGTATCGTGTTTTATACATATCGAGTCGTTTAAATATTAGTCTGTTTGTCTGTTTGCGAGTGGAAAAAATAAAAGGTGTTAGAAAAGAAAACGTGCTTCTTTTTTCTTTTTTTTTCTTTTCATAGAGAAAGAACACGATATAGACCAAGATTATGGGGTGTTAGAAACAGTGCAGCTGGCAAGAGGAAATTGCGTTGGCATTTTACGGTGGTACCGTAGCAAAAGATAGGATTACAAAAGTTTTTATCCCCCGTTGCATTTACCGCGAGTGCATCAAGAGAAAAAAAAGATTCAACGCGTTCTTGTCTACCGTTATCTCTATTGTACAAATCAACAATACAATTTATCAAATTTTACCGATTACTAATAAATATCATTTTTAAATTTCAGTTAAAGGAAATCGGGAAGGGTACCGATACGACCCACGATTTTTTCCTATCATCTTGGATAAATTCAACTGTTAGGTGAGTTTATTTGTTCACATTTATCTCTCTATCATACAATTTCAATAATTTCTTCTTTAAATTTCTATCGCAGAATATTAATCGCTCATAAGCCAATTCGGTAGAAGTTTTAAAAAAATAGACATTGGGTTTATTATTCATTTGATCAGAAAAGTATATTAAATCTTTTTACGTAGAGGGGATATTCAAATAAAAAAAAAATATGAATATTTATTAAGACAATAATAGCAGCATTTGAAAAATTTAAGGATTTACACCTTTTGCCAATTGATATGGATAAGAAATGATATAAAACATACAACAAATAATATAATAACATTTGTTGTCTTAAAGTTAAACGTTTATTCATCGTTACAAACGTCATTTTCTTCCGATTGGTTTTTTGGGCGACTTGCATAACAAATTCCTTATTAAAAGAAAAATCTGTAACTTCGATTCGGGTTTATTACTCCATACGACATATCACGACGTACAAGTTCACCTTCGAATAATTTGTTGAAAATAATCGGTCTTTCCTAAATATACGGGATAATATTGACAAGGTATGAAAATTTCGCCATTGTGTACTATTATTAATATTATTATGAGTATCGATTGGACTTTAAATACTCATCGTTAAATATTTGTATTCCCCACATTTAATTGATCCTATTGCCAACAATGTGCGAAATTGAAATCAAAGAAATTCCATTTAAGTTTCATACCCCAAACAAAATTCTATACAAATTTGTTGTATACCATAGATTTTTCGTTTACCCACTTCGTTTATTTTCGAGTTGTGTTATATTATTCGAACGTGTCTATGAGTGGGGAGAGGGCGGGGGTTTATTGTATCTCATACACACATTCTAACGCACTGGTTCTTCTAATTATCGTACATAGTCCGCTTTCTTAGCCCGTCACCTTTTCTTGCACACGAGTAAAATAGATTACTATCGTCTCATTGTTTCAAGTAACGAGCGTGACCGTATACTTTTTCTTAGAAAAAAGGACGACCGGCCAACGGAATCACATTTTCCATGCCACTCCTTATAAGATCTCACTCTGTCTCTCTCTTCTCCTTATTTTTTTCTATTTTTTTTTCCTTTTTCATCATACGCGTTTCCTGGATTCGCATTTCTTTATTTCTCCCCGCAATTCTTATGATTAATATTTTCAATTTAAATTTGTTTAAATATTTTCAATAATTTTCTAACGCGATTTGTTTTATCAAGGAGACAATCAAAATAATGGGGAAAGAACATGTTTGCCACTAAAATTGAGAGAAATAGTTTTAATGTAGGAAAGGAAAGAAAAAACGAAAGGGACAAACGGAATTCTTTCTTTCTTTCTTCTTCTTCTTCTTCTTCTTCTCCCTCCCCTTTTCATCCCCCATCACCTTTTTTACTCTTGGTAAATCGTAGAACGAATCACACAAGCGTGACTATGAATCTTCGCGCTTGCCTCAACCGTGAAATCATCGGGAGTACCGTGTTTTTCCATTTCATTTCTTCATTGGCTCTGTCTTTATCTTTCTTTAACGTTGAAATAATCGTAGAACAAGAGAGAGAAAGAGAGAATGAGTGAGTATAGCAACGCCATAACGCTATTATCGCTAATTCACTCCCTCCCCCTTTCTACCCCACACTTTCGAGTTTTCTTTCGAGATCATTATCTTAATCGTGATTCATATTATTTTATTACACGTTCTACGCTCGTCAATTACGTGTTAGACAACGATACAACTCATTGTTTTATATGTTCGAGCTATGATCGCTAATTCTTTCTTCTTCTTCCTTTTTTTTTTTTTTTTAATAAAAGTAATAGAAATTTATTTCTGCCTTATTTATGTGAGTTAAAAAAAAAGGTTTTCGAACCGATCGTTGTATTATATAATTTCCTTTATTATTTTCTTTTGTTATTTATGTTATGTTAATTATTTTTTCAAATAAAATACCGATGACGCATTCGCAATTTATTCCTTTGTAAAATAAAATTAAAAAAAGAAAAAAAAAATGAATAAAACGTTTATATACTCGTGGTTTTGGTGAATTGTAATATGTATTTTTTCGTAGTTAAAAAAAAAAAAAAAAAAGAATTATCAAAGGAACGTTTGCCATGCACAAAGTGTACTTACTATTTTTTTTTTGTTCTTTGTAATATTTAACCCAATTTATTCTTTTATTTTATTTTTTTTGTCTTTCTCTTTCTTTCTTAATATTTCATGTCGAATATAATTGACCGAACCTATCTCTCTCTCCTTTCTGTTTTATGTAAATTAGGCTTGTTGTACGACGATTGACCGAGTGTGATGATCGAGATTTAAAAAACACTTTAGTCATCTTGTTATGTCATTGTAAAAGATGACAAAAGTACTATTTCAATGAGAAAGGAAAAAGAGAGAATTGAGGACAAGTATCAACTCTCTTCCATCTTTCTTCCCCCCCCCTCTCTATTTCTTCCCTTTACTTTCTTTCTATTTGACTCTTTTTATATTAACGAGGTTCTTTGATCGGTTATTCGTGTCTTCGTGGTTTCAAGTATCTCCGGTGAAACCCTACTCGATATTATTCTAGACGACAACTACGAAGACGACTACTACGACGGAAAACCGGTTATGAAAATCTTCCTTTATTATTTTCTAATTTTGCCAATATAACTCCGACGTATCTGACGAATCTCGCGCATTTCCTATTTTTTTTTTATTATTATTTTCTTTTTGTTTTATTTCCTAATATTATTGACACGCGCGGTGGCGGTGAGATGCGATAGGCTTAGAAGAAATTCGAAACCATCGGATTTATTTCTTGTTTTCTTTTTACGTCTCAAATTGCCAATTACATTTTAACCCTGGTATGATAATATTTATTTCTTTTTTTGTTTTTATTTGATTAATTAAATCAAATTGATTAATTAGAAAATGTAGTAATAAATCTTTGAGACGAATCAAAGAAGCGAGAGAGTGTTTTTTTTTATTTCTTTTGTTCAAACGTAATCCATACTTAATATTGTGACATTTGATTGAAAATCTTTTGACACTGTAGACAGAAAGGATCATCACTCTAGGGTACGAAACGTGAAAAATAATAAATACAATTAGAGAGAAGATACTATCGAGTGAAATCGGTGATTAGCACGTATAACATCAAACTGTTCACGCGAGAGAAGTGAAAGTAACAAACAACAACAACAACATAGTCGTACTCGACAAAATATTCAAAATTATGCGTAAGAATTTAAACGAAAAAAGCAAAAAAAAAAAGAAACACACGTGTGTGTGTGTGTACGCGTGCGTGACCCAATAATCAAGGAATATTACCTCGATGCTAAATTATCGTCTCTAAAGGGTTGGTGGAAGAAGGGGTGCTAAGAGCATCCCTCTTTCTGGTAAAGGGCTACAACATTATCAACGAATCCATTATCAGCGAAATTCGATTATACTATCGTTGCTGCTATTCTCGGTCATGGATACGACCCGTTTCCTCCCCCTCCTCTCTTTCTCTTTCACATACCATACATACGTGTACTAAAATTAGAAATCTATGTATATAGATGAAGTAGTAATATACATGAAAATTTTATACAAATATTATTTCATGCTTCATTTTTTTTTTTTTTTTACATCTACCATAATGATGTTACTTCTGTAATTATTCGGATATTATTACACGCACACATACGCGCATTTATTTACACGTATGTAATACCACATTAAGCTAATAATGCGTAGTTTTGAAAAAAAAAAAAAAAAAAACACGTAAATAGAAAAAAGCGAACGTTTCCAGTACGTGCACCCTTACCCACCCCCACACACATACATCTTCCATTAAAAAAGATGGCAAGATATAGACGTAAGGGGTAAAGAGTCGAAAGAAAAGGCGAGTAGGTGGGTAGGGTTGGATGGTGTTTGATGGTGGTGGCAGCAGAGGTAAGAAGGGGAAGGAAGGGTCGAAAGGGATGATAGAGAGAAAGCGCACGCGCGGTGACGCAACAATATGGTGAATTCTGCGAAAAGCAGTCCAGTATCCACCCGACCATCAGCTGATCGATATACTTCCGCACACACGCCACGTCATACGCGCGCGACACGCATGTCACGCATCGTGTTAAACGTTAAGCGTCGTTCCAACGTCAACCTAGTTCCTTCTTGTTTATTAATCATCCTATTTTTATCTTCCACGCACACCAATTATTATCATTTTCCATACTTTACCGACATCGCAACAACCCACTACTACTATTACTACCACCACCTCGTACATTTGTTTCCCATAAAACACCATCGTATCGCGAATTTCCTCGACAATCTTTTTCAAATCCATGAGAAAGGGGCGTATGATCATTCGTTGAACCATTATTGACCCCCTTCTACGATTATTCCTTTATTCCATCCGTCCTCCCTCCCTACCCCTCTTATTCATCCTCATCCTTCTTTTTCTTCTTTTTCTTCTTTTCCCTTTTCTTTTGCAAGTTGGTGGCATTGGTGGTGGTGGTATCATCGTTCGAGAAGGAACACTTCGCGAATCGCGATTTCCGATTACGATGCATCATCTCTAAATGCATCCGTAAATGCATTCTTTTCGTTCTACGTTAGTAGTAGATAGTAGTACGACGCTATACGAATTATAGCGATCGAATTTTGTGGTTGTATTGTGACTAAACATTCAAAGAAATATTATCGTTGTAAAAATACTTTTGTCAAAAAGTATTTCGACTACGACGTCTTGGTGGTGATCGTTTACGATTTTCTGTAAAAGTAAAAAAGTAAAAAAAAAAACTGGATTTTTCAAGACCCCAAATTATTTCGGATATTATTGTTCGTACGAAAGTTCATCGTCTCGAAGAAAGAGGAAACCTTTTTGCTGGTGGAGTTGGTTTATTATTAACGTTGGTTCGTATTTTCTCTAAATATTTCTATTCCATTGCATTTATTTTTTTTGTATTCTTGTTCTTCTTTCTACTTTTGTTTTCCGTTCGGCTTATATTTTTTTTTAATTGCGGCTTTAGTCGGAGATTAACTTTTCAAATTGGATCGCGTTAGGATTATTCGCGTAATTGAGGAAACTTTATTCTTTCGCGCGTGGTATTTCTTTTTTTTTTTTTTTTATATTTTGTATAGACCAAAATATTGCGTTATTACGCTAGCTGATCTTTTTTTTTTCCTTCTACAAAAATTGTTCGTCTAATTGCCGTGTATTTTATGATTTGTCGAATTAACTTTGAGAATTTGTTTGCAATTCATTTTCAACGAGTTAGAGTATCCTCCGTGTCTATTTTTAAAATTATTATTAATAATTTTTTCTAATCTTCGAGATAGTTGAATTTTTTTTTTTTTTTTTTTATTTTGAAGACCAGATCGTTTAGAAAAATTCCTCGTCTATTCTTTTAGTCATCCTGTGTGTGTGTGTGTGTAGAATACCTAACCAAAAACGAGTCTTTTCAACTCTTCTCTTCTTTCAAAAAAAAAAAAAAAAAAGAAAAACAAGAAGAAAAACGTTTTCCCTCTCTTTCTATCTTTTATTTTTGCTTTCTCTTTGCGTCCATCCTTTTTCTCTTTTACTTTTATACACAGTGGGACCGTTTAACGTTTTCGTGAACAATTTTCCAGGTTTTCTTGTCCCACTTCTGAATTTTCAATGAGGGATAAGAACAACCCCCTGGAGCTACCACCGGATTTCTTTCAAACCCTTCCTCCTAAACCTTTCTCCTCGTCTGCTTTCTTTTTGATAGATTCCTTTTTTTTTTTCTCTCTGTCTCTCTCTCATCTTCAAAATGAATGAAAATCGCTTAGATTTTTGTAGCAAAAAAAGAATAAAATTGTCACTTTAAAGTTGTAATAAAAAAAAAACATTGCATAATAGACCAAAAGAAAAGAACTATGCAAACGTGCGACAAGAAAAATCATTCTCGTTCTCTCAAACAACGAAACGAGTGATGAAAACACAATTTTTCCATTTCAATTTCGCATTCTCATATAAATGCATATCTCTCTCTCTCTCTCTCTCTCTCTTTCTCTCTCTCTCTCTCTCTGTCCTATAATGCACCTTACTATTCTGTTTTACAGAACACTTCGTATATTCACAAGTTTCATTATATTTTACATATATACAACCTAGCGCCGCACACCCATACATATTTCAATATAATAAACATATAAAACGCGCGTTCAAGAATTCCAGTATATATACTCCGTGTATTATTATATAACTTTCCTTCTCCCCGTTTTCCCGTTAGTAGACAATAATAATTCCATAAAACCATACGTACCACTTCGTTGTAAAAACCTATAAAACGCGAATACGCATATCTAAAAAAAAAAAAAAAAAAAAAAATCTTAAAAAATTCCCTTCATACATATTAAAGGCAANATAAAACCATACGTACCACTTCGTTGTAAAAACCAATAAAAAGAGAAAAAAAAAAAAAAAAAAATGCTTAAAAAATTCCCTTCATACATATTAAAGGCAAATAAGGAGAAAAAATAAACGACAAATAATTCTAATTTCTGTCGAAGTATCGTCGTGTGCGATATGGCGAAATAATCATCGTCAACAAAATTTACACCATACTCGAGTTTAGCCAATAGAATTTCTCGTTCATTGACACGTCCCCATCCCCACTTCCCGTTCCTGTCAATTCGTTTAGAATAAAATTCAAAAAATCAGTGTGAGAGAGAGAGACAGAGAAAAAGCAACATAGCATTGGTATTTCGTTCACGCATTTGAACAATTTGTCACCGCAAAAAGAGAATAAGAAAGGAAAAAAAAGAGATACATAAAAAAGGGATAAAGAATAGATGTGGTGGTGGTTGGTGGTACACATATTCGCATTTCGTTGACACAGCACACAGAGGAATAGCAAAAGAGCGCGCGAATGCATTCGCTGAGAGAGTGCATTCATATACGCGTGCATTCCCCTCCCCCCTCTCCTGGCCCCCACCTCACCCCTCTGTCCCTTTTCACTCCGTATGCCACTCCTGAATCACCCTGAATCCCTTCTACCTATCTGCCCACCAACTTCTTCTTCTTCTTTATCATCGAAGACACGTATATAAGAGAGAGAGAGAGAATGTAGAAAGAGGGGGTGGGGTGGAGTGGGGTGGGGGGAGCAAAGCATGGCTCAGCTTGGTGTTTGCTGTTTGCTAGCTTGCTTGCTTCCTTGCTTTCTTACTTGCTAGCTTGCTAGCTAGCCTCGTTCAAAGAAGAAGAAGAAGAAGTCGCTGCTAAGTTAGCTTAGTTACTAGTGTTCCTAGTGTCTCTCTAGTGTCAGTTCTTTCCTGCCAGTCTTTGTTGTGTTATTCCACGCACGTATATTTTGTTTTATTATTATTATTATTATTTTCCAATTATTTTGTCTTTTAACTTAACAGAAAAAGAGAGAGATTTTCTGTTCTAGAAAGAAGGTGAAGTGCAAAGTGTGAGATACATTTTTATTTTATTTTATTATTATTACTATTCGTTTAAGAGTAAAGTTCGTTTCTTATTTTGTCGCGATAATTAATTATAAATATAGTTAATGATAGTGTGTTAAGGTTATATTGTTTATGAATAAGTGATTATTTTATATTGATTTATTATTAACACATTGGGGACCGGTCACGAGTTAACTCGTGTTAAAAATAGAAAAAAAAAAAACAAAAAGAAAAAATAATACTAATATATATATTCTTTTTTCTTTAAGAAATATTAAGAGTTGAATATAATAAATAAAAAATTTATTAAAGTTTATTTATATTGTTTTACTTCCACAACCGCTTTTAAAACAATAGCCGGCCACATGAAGTAAACTTTCAGCTTTCAGAAAAGCTGCCGGTCCCCAATGTGTTAACAGAGAGGATTCTATTGTCTTTTGTATTTAAATTGTATTAGCTTTTAGATCATTGTATGTATATGTATTTTGTTGTTGTTCCCCTTTCTTTATTAACAATAAGAAGATATCTGTGGGTCGTGTTTATATAATTACGTCAAAGTGATCGTTTTTGTTTGTTGTATTTCTAAACAACAAGTTTCTAAAGTCTATGATCTTATCTGTCATTGGCTTTGAGTAATACTGATTGAGATAGTGATATAATAGTTATGGGAAAGTTATAGTTTATATTTAAATCGTATTTCCTTCGCGTTTCTTTATATTTGATATTATTTTTACACATTTGACAAGTTTAATTTATTATTACATTTGCTTCCTTTTTCTTTTTTTTTTCTCTCTTCTCTCTCTCGTTGTTTATCATTTTTGCTTTGTTTATCTCTCGTCGGAATGTACTTCGTATAAGAAAGCTGCAATTGGTATTAAGTAAGGATTTACTAGCTTTATAAGCAAACCGGTTTCCTGTGATCACTATTTATAATACATACGCGTATCCATTTGTTTCATTTGTTCAACACCATTAATCCACGAGCTGTTTCTAGGCGATTTTCAAAATCAATTACTACATTCGTTACGTTTGAAACTTCTTATCAAAAAAAAAACAAAAGCAAAAAAAAAAAGAAATAGTAATTCCATGCTTGTGCAATTAAACAACGTGCGAACAAAATTTATCTGAAACGTTTGGAATAATAAAAGTGTAATTAATTGTTTAATATGGCATAATATACGTTGAAATTATTGTGCGTTTTTGTTTTATTATTCCGTAACGGCGTCGAGTAGCATCGATTTTTTGATAATATATACTATTATACTGGGTGGGCCAAACAAATTGAATTTGAAGTTTAATTTGTGCGTGTTTATGTGTGTGTGTGTGTGTGTGTGTGTTTAATCGATAAATACGAAGGCAGATAGGTCTGTTCTATTTTTTCATTCGATTTTTTTCTTCTTCTTTACGTAAGCTTCAGTGATCAATCGATTTTCATTATTTTCTTCTTGTTGGTTGGGTGAACGTGAACGTTAAAAAAAAAGAAAAAAGAAAAAACAAATCAAAAAAATACAAAAAAAAAAAAAAGAAGATAAAATTAAAACGGCACGTTCTTTTTTATCTGTGCAGGCTTTCCTGCCGATTTGTCTTGAAGTTTACACCGACGTTTGCATCATTATTGGTGAGTAATGTTACATTTTTTACAAATTTCAATTTATCCTTGTATCGCGAGAAATAAATAATATTGGAATTTTTGTTCTCAATATTTTAATTTCAATAATAATAACGCGCGACGCGCATTAGCTAATGAAAGAATTTCATTTGCAAATGAATAGAATGCATTCGACCTAAACATATAGAAAGCACTTTTTTTTCGTTCTTTTTTGTTGCTTAAACAAACTTCAAAGCTTTTTATTTTTTTTTTTTGTTTTTTTATCGACACTCGAAACTTTTTCTTTCAACCCATCAACGTATTAATATTTTTTATTTCCATATTTAATGCATCCTAAATATATAATATTTCATTGTTAATTTGATACACGACAATAATACAGTATAATAATGTTTAATCGACCATTAATTAATATTTATTTCATTTTAATTTAGATTAAAATAAAAGCAATAATAATAATGGTATTACTAACAACGATAAGTGTTGTTTCAACGAGTAATAATATATGTTTCGTCGATAAGAATATTCTGCATAAACGTAGATAAATTCAACTAGTTTATATCGTTGCGGTTTTTTCATAATTTTTTTTTCTTTTTCTTTTCAATGCCGTATGCAGTTACATGAGTGTAAAATCCACGATTATAATATCGTTTTGATAAACTTCTTATATGTTGACAATTCCTATAGATGAATAATAATAATATTATACAATATTTCTTGTATAAATTCGATATAAAAAAGAAATAATTTCTTCGAACAATCTCTCATTTTATATAATTTTTGCATTGTTCTTTATGAAAATGTATGCTTTGATTTATTAATTGTAAAAAAAAAAAAAAAAAAGAAAGAAAAATAAATGTTCTTTCTGTGTTCCTTCGTAAAGGGAGAGGAACAAACCAACAACGTCGTAAGAAGAACCTTAGCTCGTGTTTTGTGTGTTACTCTTCATCCTTAATTTCGAGTACGTCTGGTGTCCCGTTTGAAAAGGCCCATCTTGACTCTCGGTGACTTCAAAATCTCCATTCATATCGAACAAAAGAGTTAGAGAGCAAAGTTAGAGTGGGAGGTGCAGGGGGTGGGAACGGGGTGGAGGGGGGGTTTTCAACGAGAAAGAGCAACATATATATTTCGTTCACGTATATATAAACGCATACAGGTACTTACTACAACTCGTATGACGAGAGAGTAGTTCATCTTTTCTCATTCTTTATCTTTCTTTCTTTCTTTCTTGCTTTTTTGCTTTCTTTCCTTTCTCTTTTGTTTGTTAAATAACTCATAGTATTCGCGTTTGAAACGGCATTTAAATTCGACGAATTTTAATCGACTGGCAACATATATGTGTATAGCAAACGAATGATCATGCTTGTACAAAAACACAGGTGCATTTACGTTTGAACGTTATTTCAAGAATTGTTTGATTTGCATTTATATACGCGTATATTATATTTCGTCTATAGTTTATTTTGAAAATTGTTAAACAACAATTATGATAGTTGATTCGCGATCAGAAAAATTATGCTAATTTATTTGATAATTTATTTGATAATAGTTTTAATGTATCGTGAAAACGACAAATATTTCCATGACATTTCATAATATATTCACTTCCTATATACATATGAATATACTAGTTGTGTATTCTTACAGTAGAAATACGGGAATATCTAGATTCTTACTGTATAAATACCTTAGAATAAACTGGAGACCGGAAATATATATATATATATATATATATATAGTTTTTGAAAGCTTTCAAGAATTGCAACGTTGGCTGATGTCGTGAATGAAATTCAGATTGCGAAAAGTAATGTTAGAAACTCTCAGGTACTATATACGTGATATATATATATATTTCTGTATATATATAGAGGTACCGAAAAAAAATCAATTATTTTTTATCTTAACAAAAAACATTATTATTCCATACAAATTTGTATATTATAATTAAAAATATAATTTCCTTCTTCTTCTCGTAGAATTGTTTTCTTTTCTTAAAAAATGTACGAGTTTTATATTTAAAAAATAGTCATTGATGCAAAATTATAAAAATAATATACATCATACAAAAACATTCATTAAATATCTAAAATTGCATGAATTCATTAAATCATTAAACAAAAATTCATAGACATAAATAAATTTGATTTAATTAGATCGATCAAAACTAATCATTGATTTTCTCAATTAATTGTGTTTAATAAATTACTTGTCCAGAAAATGTATATATGTTTATAATTATTTATAACGCACACATAGAAACACACAAATACGTGGTAGGATTGCTCATGAAGCAGAGGAGTAGCGATGTTCGATGCGACATCGGCGAATAAAAATAGCCCGTTTTACTTTGAAAATCGTCTTTGAAACTAAATTCCTATCTTTACTTGCTCGCAAGAGAGGGAGAGAGAGTAAATATCTTTTATGTAACTTCGTTTCGAGTGAAATACCTTGCGAGACTGGGATAGTCAACCAGTGGCCTTCTCTTGGACACCAAAGAAGGATACAAATAAATGCGTAAAACGTGTTATTTTTTTTATCCTCTCTTTCCGCGTGGATGGTTTCTATAAATTCGTTGAATTACGTTTTGTGTTTATCTCGCGTTGCTTCATGAAATTGTAAAAAAATAAAAAAACAAAACAAACGTTTACGTTTTTTTTTTATACATGGGATTTACGTAGAATATGAATTTCGTTCATTATTTGATTCGCATATTATTTCTACTGACAAAAGTTTTATTATTTAACTACTAGGAGTAGTTTGGATAAATGTTGTTGTTACACCTCTGAAAATAAAAAAAAAGAGAGATATTTTTTTTTTTGGTTGAAACGTAAAACGAAAAGGGGGGGAAATAAAAAATAATTGTCATCATTTTTTTTTTTTTCTTTTTCAAATTTGTTCAGCTCGTTCTCGGGGAGTGCTAACGAAACGATAGAATTTTTCTTTCAAAGAAATAGGGGGAGAGGGGAGAGATAATAGAGCGTGGAGCATGAGTGCCGAAGGCAGTTAACAAATTTTTCTTCTATTTCGTTTCTCTCTCTCTCTCTCTCTCTCTCTGGGAAACTGTTCCCCGTCGTCATAGTCGTAGGCAGCGGTAAAAAGGAAAAAAAAAAGAAAAAGTCCGTACGGGATTTGCGGGAGATAACATTTTCTTCTTTTATTCCGTCTCTTAACTACCAACCACCCCACCCCCTCCCTTCCCTCATCTTTTTATTGTATTCATTTTTGTTATATTTATTTGTATTCCGTTTTTTTTACTTCGTTTGTAGGCCAAGTAGATAAGTGAAACGTTTTTCGGTTAAAAATGGTTTTGTGAATATAATACATCGCGAACATTACGAGTGAGGCAGGGAGAGGGGGAGGGGTTCACGGGCTGGTTTCTGGCCCTCGTCGAGTTAACGTAGAAACTCTTTCTCTCTCTCTCTCTCTCTCTCTCTGAGAGATATAAAAGATAAGGAGAAGAAGAAAAGGAAAGAAATAGAAGAAAACAAGATGAATATAGATGAACAGTGAATTAATGAGTTGGCGAGTTACTATGAGAGAGAAAAAGAAAAAGAATAAGAAAAGGTAAAAAAAAGATATATAGATAAAGAGAGACACGAGATGCGGATAAAGATAGAAGAGTGAAAGGGGGCTGATGGTGGTGGCGTTGAGAAGTGGGGGGGGGAGTGGTGGGAGAGGTAGAAATAGAGATGGAAAGTCGAGAATGAATGAATTCTCGTGCTTCCTCGACGGAATTCACACGGATGCTAAATAAATTTGATACGCGGTTTACTCTCTCTCTCTCTATCTCTCTCTTTCTTTTTCTCTTTGAGTTACTCGTTCGTTTTCTCTCTTCCGGTTTGTTCGTTTCATAGAATCTAATTTTGAGGTCGGACGAGCGAACGGATGGACGGATGGATGGATGGATGGATGGACGGACTGACTTACTCGTCTTATGAAAGTAATTGAACCGTCAAACGCAGAAAGAGAGACACCATCACCCCCTGCCCCTTCCGCCCCCCCCTGCACTTGCACCTAAAGTCGATCGAATATCGTCCAACGAATAAAATTCACTTTTATTCGATAAAACAATTTTCTCTCTCGTTTTTTTCTATTTCTATTTCTTGATTACTCGAAAGATAGATCTATTTTTTGTGTGTAGATATATCGTGTTTCATGTTTCAATGAGTATTTTTGCCACGTCATTTTATTTTACCTATTTTTTTATTTTAATTTTTTTTTTTTTTTTTTATCATTATTACAGAGAATATACATTTGTTAAATCGTATCAATCAATCAGCGAATACTATAATATTTCGCGTTTTAATGCAATGGTGTTTATCGGAAAAATAAATTGGTACGAATTGATGGTATCGTGTAATGCGATCCTTTGAAAATAATAATTCGAAAAGAAATATTCAACAAACGTTAGATATAGTATAGAAAAAAAAAAAATATTATACTTGGAAGAAAATCGAATAGTATTCTCGATGTGTCAGGTTCGTTAATGTATTCGGCAAGAATTATGTTTGCCAATAATAACTTTTATTTTATTTTCTTTTTCTTTTCTTTTTTTTTTACGTCCGACAGCTGACACTTTTTTTCGGTTCGTTGAGTTATCAAAAAAGTAAATGGAAGTTGTTTTAATTATGACGAGGTGGTATCGACGAGGAGAAAGAAGGAAATGTATTTTTATCGCAAACAGAAATATGACGAATTTTACGTGGAAATAAAGAAAGTATTATTTCCAACAAGAATATATTCATTTTATAAAATGGAAAATAATAATTCGTTTGATAAATTCAATCGGTTAAAAAATATTTCTATCTTTCATATGTTACATCTGTTTGCAAATTTCTACGCGCGTGTATGTGTGTGTGTGTGTGTGTGTACGTTCCATTCTTTCTCCCTATATTTCATTTTAATTTTTTTGTTTTTATTTATTCTTTTCTAATTCAACATTACACATCGATTGAATCTTTGTAATAAACAATACGACGCGAAGATTGACGTTGAAGATTTTTGTATTC